ACGAGAGAGCCCGAATGTTGGTTTTGTACTCACGAGAGGGATTAACTCAAATCCCACTACATATTTACTGAAGATTTCAATCGAACGGTGCAAATCACATCCCTGCGCAAACTGTCGCCAACTCGAGTTCATACCATCGCAAATTTGGAATTTCGTTCGTCTAGTGGAGCAGCAGCACCAAAGTCTGTCAACCGCCAGCATGGATATACCGTGGTTTATCTCGTGATCGCCATGAAGTCCACTGGGGGAGGGTCCAACGTCGGCCTTGGCACGCAACAATGCTTCCCATGTGTCGCCGGACCATTCCGAAGGAAACAACCACCACCGCGATATCGGGAAGTTGGCCCAGGCGTACTCGCAGCAGTAGCAGCAGCAGTCAAGCGTAGACGTCTTGACACTCTGGCAGCACTACGCGCTGCAACTAGACGACACACTCGCCAGGACTGGAAGCATCCATGTCAAGTCGATGGCCACGCTTGCACGCGACATCAATGACATGGAGGAGTTTCTGTGCTTCTTACGGCAACTCATTTTGCATGGATATTGGAATAGTAGGGCGTTCGAAGCAAAGCGATGGTTTCGACTGTGCGAGATCGCATGCCGTTTCGATCGTGAAGCATGTCGACCCGACCACCACGTCCTTCCATCCCAGACACGCCGCAACGGTCCACACGACTCGCGGGTCCAAGCAGGCGTGCACAACCACGCTCATGTAGGCATTTACATGCATGTGCTCGCAGTCTAGCTCTGTGCGGCCGAGAGATGGCAAGATTGTCGGGGACAACTGAGGCAAGCGTTTTGGCTTGCCGTTCCTAAGAATGCGCAACCGATCGCGTCGGTTTCACGCCAAGAATTCTCTGGGCCGCTCGCCATCCCGCGCGGTATGTCGACGAAAGGTTTGCGTGCATGGACTTTGCTCCGAGCGATGCTGTGGACGAATTAAGGTGTTTCGAAGTGTAGAGGACTCCTTCAGCTCACGTCGCTGCAGAAGCGTCGCGACTCGTGGGCGTTGTACACATAGACAATATACTTGGGAACGGCCATGCAAGCGAAACCGACAGTCGCGACAAAGCGTCGTGCGACTGGGGACCCATCACTTGTACTTAGTCTGGTGCAACCCCTCGATACACCGATGATCAGCCGCTCCAGCGTCAGCCGCGATGGCTGCATGGCTATCGAGGAAGCGCCGCGTGACGTATCGCGGGCAAAGATTGACAGCGTCAAGCTCGGGACGACTCGACGCAAAGCCCTCACGCTCCAAGAGCTTGTGGCCATCATCGACACGGAAACCCACGTCAGAGACGGCATCCCTTTCCACAAGAAGGACGACATCAAGCAAGCCCTGCACGACTTTGACGGGAGCATGGATGCCCTTGAACGCTACGCCCACTTTGACCCGTCCCGAAACTACACACGCAACTTGATCTCCACCGACAACACGTCGTACGCACTCATGTTGCTGTGCTGGAATCGAGGAAAGTACAGCCCGATCCACGACCACCCGTCCGATGGGTGCTGGGTGCGCCACATCCAAGGCACCCTCAACGAAGTTCGGTACTGGAACGACGGCGAGAAACTCATCGAAACGTCCAACACGCTCATCACGTCCGGCGTGTCATACATGGACGACTCGCTCGGCCTCCACAAGATTGGCAACCCCAGCACCGACGTCGACGCGATCACATTGCACTTGTACTCGCCACCGTACAACAAGTGCCGCCTCTGGTTCGACCCGGCGGATGCGTCCAAGTCGTCGACTGCCGTCGCCAACTTCTACTCCGAGTACGGCGAACGAACGCAGCAGTGACGCCACGTACGACCAGAAGCACAACGCAAAATCGAACCAGTTGAACGTCTGCAGTGCAAACGTATGTCTGGGGATAGCGAGGGCATGTGCAGGGCATCTCCCTGGACTCTTTGGTTGGGGTCGTCGAAGTGCAGCTGGGCCACCATACGTAGTGCGACGACGTTGGCGATAGCTGATTTTTACGAGCTAGACTTCTAGTTTGGTGCACGCAGCACTGGCCAACCTCGTGCAGCTCAAGCAACTACCTCTACAAAGTTTGACAACTACGGCTCGAACGCTGTGGCTCCATGAATGGTCTGGTACTTGGAGCGCCGATGTGCGCGGAGTACGAAGAAGGCAGCAGATCCGCCGGCGACCGCGATCACCGTTGCCCACAGCACAAACGACCACACCCAGGAACTGCTACGATGGGGCACGTTACGGCCATCCACGATTTCAACGAGTCGAGTCCATACTGTGGGAAGGGATGGAGCCAGCTAGGGATTCCCGCTCGCTCCGCAGCTCGGGTGTCGACGCATTGCAGGAACTGGTCCTCGGTATCGAACCAGATTTGAGTGCACAGGACTCGGTCGAGGCACGAGGTTGTGACACACACGGGAAGGTGCTGCGAATCGGCTTTTGAATGGCGATAGTACTCATTCAAGAGGTTGTCGTCCGCCTTCATCCTGGCCAGATACGTCGTGATGAAGTCTTGTTCTGGACAAAATGAACATGCAAACCGGTGGGTGAGTTGATGCAATGCGGAGCTGGAGAGGGTCGTCAGGTTGTACGCACTACAGATGAGTCCACGTCAGCATGCAACGGATGGCTGGCATGTGCTCGTACGCCTTGGCGGAGAAGACCTTTTTCCACGCAAGGGCCTAGTGACCAGGACGACAACATGAGCGTCCGTTTGAAGGAGGCGTAGCGCATCGTACGGTCGCATCGGACGTCGTCAAGTTGGTCGCGTACACGGAGAAGTCCTCGATGTCGAACGTATCCTCGTTGTATTCCCAGATCTGTGCGATGACTCCATGAGGCGTTCTTGCGATCCCACGAACGTGGCAAGGGAAGTACCGTGAACGAAGGATTGTTGCCAAACATGGGCGAGATGGCACCCGATGCAAACAGCGGCACGCCGACTGGCGACCCGCCCACCACCGTTTCCACAGGCACACTACGTATGCACGCCGTTGATCCATGGAGAGAAAAATACGCGTCGAAGTCGATGGGGTCGTGGAGCAGCTTTTTACCGGAATTCAACAGAGTGGACATGGCCAAAGAGCTAAACAAGACAGTTGAGCTGGCGATCGGGGCGTTGGTGCAAGAGGGAGGAGGCAACGACCTGAGCTTTGATGATACTGGGAAAATCCCGAACGATTGCCTTGTACGATAGGAGGTACTTGAGCTCCCACTGCGATTCCCCCCCGTACGAATCGATGATAGGCGGAATGTGGCCAGCAATGTACGCATACGATCCGTTCGCCTCAACTTCATGGAGGGTTGCCCGCAACCACGCAAATTGACCGAACGGGTCGTTCAAATGCTTGGTGTTTGGCGAATGCTTGATCTGCATCGCTCGCTCAGGACGGAGGGGACATAGGAATGGTGCCGCACCGAGTACGGTACAGTGTTGAGGGAGATCAAGACGAGCTTGGGCTCGATCGTGTACCACAGGTACCCCCGGGTATCAAATTCTTTAAAGTGCGACGGACTGAGTGCTTGCTTCCACGGAGCATCCACCATGCCGATGGTCGGGTTCGTCTCTTCGGTGTCGGTGATGTAAAACTCATAGTCGTGCACTAGCATGAGCATTAATGCATGATGGATGGAATGTATAGTCATACGACAGTCGGCGTTGCCAAGGATGGCCGTGACGTTCTTCAAATGGAAGCTGTCTTGCACCATGTTGAACCCTGTTTCGACACTCTTGGCAAGGATAGATTCGTTGTGCTTCACGTGAGCGACGGCATCGCCCGTGTACAAGAGAAGATCTGGGTCTTGTAGCACACCTTTCGCGTATGCCAAGGCAGAGGCAAACAGCCTAGCTCATTCCAGTGATTGCAGTTTACACCTCTAGCAGGTACCGTGGACTAGTGTCGTGGCCGTATTCTATCGATTCGAGCGTGATGTTGAGGTGTACGTCCGAAATATGCAAGATCGTCTTGGCATGAGCGCACAAAGCGGCCACAAGCAGCGCCGTCATCCTAAGGAGTCCTTGGGGTGTCATCGTTGTCCGAGGCGCCTCGGAATTTTTGACGGCGACCCTTCTGACACAAGTCCTCTCTTCTGATTGGTTTATTTCACAGTATTCAAGAAATCTCATTGGCTGCTGACTACGAAGTGATAGGTCTCATTTATCATTCAATAGAAACTACAGTACTACCCGGCGTATGAAAGTTGATACAGTATCGAATACTAGTAGTACTCCGATTATTTTTCATGTTACTAGTATTCACAACACTTGATCTATTATGATCTATTAAATGAATTTTTATAACCGTTACAGTACAGAACTTGAACGGTTATGCAACGCCGTCAAAGAAGGAAGGGCGAATTTGATGTCGGCGGTGGGCGGTGCTGAATGGAGAAGGTGGAGAACAGATCTTGTGCTTCAGAGATTTTCCCCACAAACGGCTAGACTACGAGCTCGTCGCGTTGGTTGCAGCCGTGAGCCGTGGACGCGTCTGCTTGAGGTGCGGAACGTTGTAGGCGAGAATGTGCTGCGCACAGTTGGTTCACCTTGGCCAAGCGATGGCACCCACTGGACGAGCACAGAGCATCGACGCGGTGAACTTCGCAGAGTCCACCTCCACGGTCCGTGCGCGGGCATCCGTCGATGCGGCAGGGTATTTTCCCGCCGTGCGTCGCACATCGGCCACGTCGCTGGGCAGCCCGTGCGCATCCATCCATGGCGCATTTCTTCCCACCTCCATGCGCTTTGCATCGTCCGCCGCCTTGTGCGCTCTTGGGGCAATTTGCTACAACACACCGCGCGCCACCGCCATGTTTCTTGCATTTGCCGAGACCCCCCATCGCCGTTCCAAGGCATCCGACGGTAGTACACGTCTTCCCACCGCCATGACCGCGGCACAGTCGATTTGTTGACGCCGCGTGTGTGCAGCCTACTATCGAGCACTGGGTTTTTTTTCGGCGGGGCGGGCGAAAGGAGGCCGTTGCGTGGTCAACGCTGGTCGATGGAGCAAGTAGCGCACGATGCCAGTCCCCAGTCTGTCGCCATCGTGCCTCAGCGGCAGCTTCCCCCAGGTACTCGTTTGCGGCAGGAAAGTAGGACGGTTCATTGTCACGATAAGCTGTCGTGAGTGGCTCGACGTAGCAGTACCCACCCCATAACCCTGGTTGGCGCGTCCAGCCATGGTGCTCTTGTAACCATGCAAACACTCGATGGAAGTCGTCAGCTGGTTGCATGCCTTCCAAGCAAGCAGCATCGTCGACGTCGTTGGTCGCAGACGAGACCGAGACGTCCGATGAGGCCTCCGAGTCCACTACAGACTCGGAATCCTCGCTGTCGTACTGGTTGGGCATGAAATGCTCCAAGGGGTGCATGGGGAATGATTTGACAATGGAGGTGTAGTACTCCTCGCCTTCAATGTCCAAGTCGTGGCCCCCATGGTCGGCGCTGTTTTCTCGACCCATGGACGAGGCTGCTCCCAAGTGAGTTGTACTGCGCAAGAGGGGGGTAAAGCTGTGGAACTCGGCATCTTCTTCAATCGTGGCCATGGACTGTTGCCGGTACAGCACTTGTTGTGGCAAGTTGGCCAAGGCGGTGTGAACCGCGCTGGGTTGCTGCATCTCCCGCTGGCTAACCACGACGACGACCACGTTGTCTCCAGACGCGAATGCCACGTCGACGTACTCGGCTAGATCGTCGTTCAGGTCCACGTGCAGCATGTCAACCGAAGTCGGCAGAAAAGCGACTGCGAAGTCGTTGCAGCATTGCAACGAACGCCACGTCATGTATCCGGTCCGTTTGAATAGTGAAATCATGACACTAGAACGACGCGGAACGACTGCAGGTTGGAAAAAGCGCGCGAGGACGCCACGGCATCCAAGCGGCCTATGGCATGAATATTTCGTCTGGTTGGCCCAGGGACGTCGGCGATGTTCGACTCAACTTGATGGGGACTTCAGGTGCGACCAATTGCAAGGGTGATGTGGTTGCGTTGTGAAGTGCATGCACGATTGACTGGTTAGAACACTTCCTGCAATACGACGTCAGGATGATGCTCGAAGACACATCGCAAGCAACTGCGTTTTGACCTCCTGGACACGGGAAGGAGTTAAGTAGGCGAGGTTCGGCATGTGCTGTGATAGGTTAGGCTAGCCATGCGATGACGAAAATGCCGCCGACGATGCAGGTTGGGAAACTTTCCTGCTCAATTGGCATCGAGACGAGATTTGTATCTCCAGCAACGATGGACCGCCGAATGCAGCCGCGTCGTCCCACTCGCCGACGTCAAACCGCACAGGCCCCACACAAACCAACACGCACGTGATCCGCTTGTGCTGAGACAAGTGGTGCAAAAGTCGGCATTCATGGACATTTGACCGACTGGCAAACGCTTGGACGAAGCCAAATACATCAACAAAGTGGGTGTTGTGAGCCTGCTTGAAGGCACGGACGGAGCTGTGGAGGAAGAAGGTATTGATCCACCATCCATAGTGACATTTTCTGCTCGCCGCCCCGTGACATGGGACTGTGTCCTTGTGGAGGAGCGCATGAGGTAGCACACGCCTTGGAACTAGAGGTAACCTTGACGCTGCAGTCGCCACGGCTCAAGTCGGTACTCGCTTGGACACTTCACTCAATCTTCTTCCCGTCAAAATACGTGTGTTTTCGAGCATTTGCTGCAGGTCGTCCCAGGTTGATACGAGAGTCCGGCGTGACGACGTGCTCAAGGGACGACTTCAAGTAATAACATCTCCCTTGAAATCAGACGTATCACTTCCATTGGGACTTCTTTCTGTAGTCGCTGGAATCACAGGTTTACAGTCGCGAGTCGTCGCGATGCCCGCGCCGGTGTAGTCAGAGCCCTCTTGAATACTACACTGGCCAGGTTTGAGGCGTCGAAGCGGGGGGTACGTGCGGGAGTTCGCTGGAGGAGTAAGTGATGAAGTTGACTGGGGAATTGGCTAGGGAGTGGGAGAAAAAGTAGGTGCAGTTGACTATGGAGTAAGGAGTAGGTAAGGGGGTTGGTTGGGGGATCACTGCAGCAGTAGGTGCTGGCCGTGGAGTATGATCGGAATTAGGTTCAGGGACGGGAATATGGCTGCAGACACCGACGAGGCGGTTGGTGCTGTGGTCTGTTGGGGGGTCGTTGCAGGCGAAGGCACAAGTGGGAGGGCAGTAGGTGCTTGGATTGGGAGGGGAAATAGTGCATACGTAGGCCGGGGAGGGGGGTGGATTCAGAGGTGGACTGAGCAGTGGCAGCACGTGAGAGAACGTGTGGTGGGGTAGGTGATGGGGGATGGGTTGTTGTTGTGGAGCATTCTCGCGATCATGCGTCAGCAGGTCAAAGTGACAGTCGAGATCGGCCCTGATGGACTGTTGTATCCTGAGTCAAAGAACTGGTAAATGTTCACCTCGATCACGTCAGACGCCACGCCGGACTAACTTATCGTACGATCGGCACCAAACGACTCGGTAATTCTTTGGAGGTCGCCGACAGGAACCGATCCATTCGTTTTGGTTGAAAATGAGGTTGCGTGTACTTTTCGTTTGCCGCACCATGTCCTGAACGACGTTCTCGTTCCCGATCAGGATCGTGTTTCATCGTGTTGGGGTAGCTGACCGCGGCATTCAGGGCCGACGTCACTTAGCTGTAGTACCTAAAAACGTGGCACCACTCCATTGAAGTCGATTCCTTGGTCATGAACACTCCCATTTACAGCTACAGGCGTACTTGGCGGCAATGGGGACGCCGTTATACCCAACTGCAAAGTTCATCGAACGGGCAGTGCCTCGGCAACGAAGTGCACCGCTGCCACGACGAGAATCCAGTCGCTCACGTCAAAATGGAATGAGCAACACCAGCAGCGATGGTAGGACGGTGAAGTCAGAAGGGCTTATCTCAATTGCATGCCGTCTCTGTAATGATGCATACAATGTTCGCAAGGCCAATGGAACGTCTTTGAAACAATTAAACTTTGAGACTCCCCACCAGAAGCGCGGCATTCCTCCACTCGACTTGTGGATGGTATGCTTTTGGTGGCGAGGGCGGGAAGTCAAATGGCTAACAACAGCGCGTGTTGGTGTCACGGAAATCGATTGATGCGATAGAAAAATGTCCCATTGAGGATGTCCACTTGCTTTGCTACATCGGCTCTATCATGTTTTTGGGTTTCCTTCGCTGGAGTTCTGGTCCTATCAACAACAAAAAACCAACGAAACTCAGCACATCTCAGGACGGAGTCGTAATGTGCAAGTACCGAGGCCAACATGGACCAAACTAGCCACGGGAAATTTATCCTGCATATCGGTCGACGCTTGTGCCATTGTCGGGGGACACGTTTTGATTTGGTAGGTGCAGTACACATGGCGAACACATGGCCGTCGATGGACGACATGGCACCACCACGACTGTCCATCCCTCTGGACTTGACTCGTTGCTGCATTGTGGCAATCTATTCTGAGTGCCACGTCATGGTAAATGCAAATGGTCGGATGCTTGGAAGAAAACCCTAGCATCGCAATCGACCACTCGTGGGTGAATGCAATCCAATTCGACACGACGTCAAGTGCATGTGCAAAGTGCACCAACCGGTTCAATTAGCGTGCTGGACGTGCACTGTTCAAGACAGCATGCTACTTCCTGGCTTCACCAACGCGTGTAGTCACCACAACTGCATGCATGTTTGTCCTCAAACCACGACGCCAACATAGATTCGTCCAACAGGACAAGCACCAACCAAATGAACGCCTTGTCAACGCCTAGAACTATATTCGAGTTGGCTCTGGTTGCTACGGGTCGGGCATCGCCTCGCATTGGCTGCTGGTTCGTCGTGGTATGTTTCGGCCGCAAATTTCCCAAATTAGGCGATCATCATTCCCATGTCACGATGGAATGTATGTTTTAGCCTGATAAAATGAAAGAAGAGGGTAGGGTTCCGTGGGTCGTACGAACCATGCCACGGTCTCGAATGGTCGTCGGGACGACCTGTGGTTTGCAAGTGGGCCGCGGTCGCAGTGTGACAATTATGCGACGATCTTTGAGGTTATCGCGGCGACGGTGGAGGCGTTGGCATGGCGCACTGAGGCGTCAAGAGTGTGACCTCGAACGCCTCTCGACGAATGAACAGGATGCTCCATGTCCGTGCTTCATCTAGCAACCAAGACCAGTGCACGAGTGGGACGGGCGTATTTGCACACGTGACGTGCGTTGTTCATCGGTCACGAGGTTAATTTTTAAATACAACATGAGAGAAGTCGGTGCTCCGAGTGGTTTGGACGCCGTATCGACTAGTCGGACCCGGCTTCATCCAACGCAACACAGAGCAGCACGATGAACGCCATGTCGATACCTGAAGCAATCTCGACGCAGTACTCGTCGGTAAAGCTCATGAGCCGGCTCACTTTGGCCACGGGCACTCCGTCGCACGTGATGACGGATTTGTGAACGAGCCAGTCACCACTGATGCCAAACGAATAACGCTGTCCAGTCGTACAGTCGACGACGTGGCAGTCGAGCACGTTCTCGAACATGGTGATCCGAGGGGTGATGTCAAACCACTTGCGCATGTCAGGTGTAAATACTTCCTGTCGGTTCGTAAACGACATCATTGGCTCTTCCATGTACGCGAGGACGTTGCCTTGGTAATCGCGGAGCGTTTTCTTCTCGCGCCACGAAAACGCCGACCCGTCCACTTTGAAGTATGGCACGTCCGTGTGGACGTCCTTGATTGAGAAATCGTCGCCGGACCATGACCACATCTTCTCCTTGATTCTGAGCGTCACGGGGACTGGCGACGCAAACTTGGGATGCACGATCGACACGGTTTTGTGCGGCACGAGTACCGCGTTGTCGAACGCTTCCGTCGACAGACACCCACCCATTGCGTGATTTTGGACAATGACCACCTCGTTGCTAGGTTCCGTGACAATCATTCCTGCTCCAGCGTTGCACGAATGTATGTTTTCATCTGACCAATTTTTCTGTCACACACAGCACGGTGGTGGACATGGCGACCCGCCGCCGCTTTGTTGTGGCTGGTCCAGGGCTGTGCGAATCGTGCGTACGCCTTTCAGTAAAGGCATGAGATATGGGGAAGGATCGTATGTATAGTGGCGACGAGGTGGAGTGAGAAAGCGGAAAATGTAGCTGGTACATGGACGGGCCGTTGGTTAACGAAACCCCATCTTTGCCGCGCCGTGGAGATGCGCTGGAAGGTATGTGAGGTCAAGAGGGAACCATAACGACTGGTTGAGCTGGTAAGGAGGCGGCGCAAACCACCCAAACCCGTAGTGACGTGGCGAGGATAGTGGTTTGGCCCTTGCTTAGATCGCAAATGTCATCGTTCGATGACTGGGGGTAGTGTTGGGTTTCGGAGTTGCTTTGGTTGCACTTGGCTGGGGGGTAGGAGTTCGTTGTAGGGTCGGTAGGGGCAGGAGTTGGCTTGGGCGGGGGTCGGTGCACGAGTTGGCTTAGGATTTGGTGCGAGAGTGGGGGCACTTGTCGTTGTTGTAACATCACTTTTTGTCGTGCGTCGTGATGCTCGACGTCCACGGCGCGGGGTCCAAGTTGCGCGGACTTGTGAACGCGGGGCTCATCGGCGTGGCGCCTTGGTACGATTTCGACCCACACAACTTCGTCCGGTCGCACGTTGTGCACGGAATACCATATGTCCTTGTCGGTTTTGCATCCACGACTGAAACGTGTCCAGTGCTGTACCAACTAATGTAGTTGGCGAGTCTCGGGCGGTTGTATGACTCGAACCACGTGAGCCACGCCGACTCAATCACGACCAACTTCGCATCGCCGCCGTACTTGAGCTGGATGGCGTTCTAGACGCCGTTCAGCTTGCGCGGTTGGGACGCGACTTAGCTCGAATCAAAGCACGGTTGAATGTTGACTCCGATCGTGTCGGGCACGTTGTCCAACTCGAGCATGCCCGGGTCATTTTGAAGCGACTGGGCAGGATGGAGCCTACCTACACGACCTGCTCTGTTTCGTTCTTGATGCGGCTGCGGATGAAGTTGATTTTCGTTGCGATCGCGCCTGCAGAGTGCGGACCGTTCGGGATCACGCTGTCTCTGCCGACTAGAACACCTAATGACGGTGTTTGAATGCGCCACCCCGAACAACATGCACGACCGAGTCTATGTGTCCTTGGCTCCACTCGGCAGGCTCGTGAGGGGCGGACATCGGATGAGTTTGGAGAATCCGCCGTTTACCAAGCGTCGGAAGTCATGTGCACGCCCAAGCGCACCGATCGTCGCCACTTCTTTGCCGCAATAGCTGGAATAGTACATGGGGCGCCGTGCGGCCGAGCTCAACCATCTGACTAAGTCGTCGTCCATTCAGGTGGTCGTGGAGGTTGTGCCGTCGAGCGAAAGCTCGGCACAAGACGAATAGCTCACGGCGACAGCCAAATCCGTCAATTCGATTCTTTGAATGCCGTCTGTCCCTAGAAAAGGGGCTGCCTGGGCCTCCGTCACATCGACGACTCCCAATAGGTATGCAGCAAGCAGTGCATGTGCTGCTCACATGATGGGCAGGTGACAACGAATGCTGCGACCTCTGCGATTGCTTTCCTGTCACTGGTGGCAGTCGGTTCGAACGTCGTCACTCGCTATATAAAACTCCATTAAATATGCACTGTGTATGGATTACTACCAGTGCTCAAGTACTATATACTTTATATTGCAATTCAATTGCATGGAAATGTTGAATTTAATCACTGACATAAACGAGCGGACACATCCAACCTGCTCGACCAAACAGACGCTGGATCATCTGGTACAGGGGTCGCCAGCCAGCGAGGCTGGCACACCTCACTGCCCTATCGCGTGACGTGACTCGAGCGCGATGATACCGCTGCAGATGAGAGGTTGGACGGGGCTGATTGAAATCAGGGGTATCTCCACGTACAACATGGAGCGCTCGTGTCTTCGTGTTGACCAGACTCCGCGAGCGCACATCCGCCGCCCCAAACTATCACACGGATCCCTTTCTCGGGCAAAGAAAAAGGTTGTGGACGCTGCATGACTTTCCCACTTGCCATTGTATTCAAGCAAGACAAGTCTTAGCATTGTGGAATCCAAGAGAAGGGTTGGATTCCTGGCGTGAAGCATGAGGGCGCCGCTTTCAACCCCTGCAACACTGCATAAACTTGTGCATTCATCGAAATACATAAATAAGCAATTGGTGCCAACCAACTTTCTCTTACGCTTCGCAAAGAATTGAATACGACGGCGTCGATAGAGTTGGGGCTTCCACCGCCATGCCATCCCACGTCCACGGTTGGACCGGTGGGATGCGACCCGGTCCTCCAGCTACGCCCTGGTCGTGTGCATTCGTCTCGAGGTCGGGATCTTGAGCGGTGGCGTCCACTTCAAACACGCGAAACCCACACAAGAACGCGTCCTGCATCATCGCAAACGCATTGTTCATGGATGCAACCTGCCCACCATCACCGCCGCGCATGGCATCAAGGAGAGGGCCAAGGCGACTCGCCAGTCCCGCGTCGGCCACTTGTACCTTGCAATACGCCGTAAACGACACTGCGCAGTCGAATGGAGCAATTTGAATCCACCCCGAGTGGTTGGCCACAACGCTTGACGGCGAAAACGGCATCTTGGCGTCTTCGAGCACTGTCCTCCAGACGATACAAGTCTTTTCGTCCGCGACAAACTTCTTGACCAGTACTCCCGACTCCAGTTGAAAGTCTCCGTCCAAAGTGCCCACCCACTGTCGTAGGTATAAGGTGCAATCATCTATCGTCTCGAGCTAGCACGACGGGCGTGCATTGGATCATGATCGGACACTACTTTGAGATGGCGTACCTGCCACTTGTACGCCAATTGAGTCGTGTCAGGGCGCGATCCCAACGACAGAATCGTACTCCACACGTTGGTAGCAACGTTGGCGGAAGATGTCGAGGGCGAAGTCAGTGTGGTGAACCGCATGACTTCGGCCACCAACTGCGGCGGCGACGTCAAGTTGCATCGGAATGAGTCCACTTCGTCAGTCGATGGATCAAACAGGCCACTGGCAACCATCTCGCTTTCCACTCGGTCGAATTGGCGATTCAATATGGCGTGCATTGCAGCATTTCGCATCGCGTCATCGAGAGGGAGGTGCAATACCCGCCACTGCTCGTCGTCCAAGCGATTCATCTGGTTTGTCAAACTGTAATTCGATATCCACAAGGAGAGGCAGTCGTACGATGGAGCGAGGTTTCTTGAGGACCCAATGCTCGAGTTGATGCCGCCATGCCGTCTGCTGCTTGAGCATCGTGTTCAGGTCGTCGTTCTCCCGCATCGATCGAAGTTTCCACGCCAACTGGCTCCGCGCGACCTGTGCCCACTTTCCAGATTTCGACGAAGTCATGATAGCTTGACGATTTTGCTTCAGTTCCTCAAGCTTTTGCTGGAGGTCGTACGCTTCGTTGTGGAGAATCGCCAAGTCAACCAAAATCTTGTTGCTTCTGTTGCGTGGTGGAATGGGGACTTTGTGAGCTAACGACGGCGCGGTCGCCGAGTCCAGGTCAAAGAGACTCTCATCTACTTCTGGTAAGCTCACGTCGAGCGCCATTGGGATGTCCTCCATGAGCAGCATGTCGCATCCGCTTCTTCCACTGGCTTGCATATTTGTTGTTGTTCGTGGTTACGTGGCAACAATCTAGCACTTGAAGCTATTGGGGATTTTTCCCATGGGCAAATACCTCTAAACCATAGATTGGGTTTTCCCATCAGGATTCTTTTATCCGGAATTTTCCGTACAAGTTGAAGCTATCGCAATCAAGTAGATGTCGACCTCTCAACCTGTTGTGGGCGACATAATTCTGGAGCATTGTGCACTCAGTACAGCGTAGCCGCGGGACTGCGCTGTGAAGAAGCCCTCTCAAGGAATTAGAAGCGTGAGGAGGCACAATCACGTTGGACATCCTCGACCATACAATGACTAGCCCTTGAGATATAGTAGCGTCCTGGGGGGAAGGCGGCTACGGAATGCTGATGTGGACAAGCAAATATGTATCGGTTCTTGGTGGCGCTGAGTGTGGCTGTTGCTCTCGTGGCGAGCAAGTATCTGGCATATCGAGTACCATCCACGATTTCCACGTCGGTGGATGGTGACCGCGCCCTCGGCGCTGCCTTCGCTACTGTACGTGGCCATCTGAGTCTTTCCAGACTTCAAAGTAACGCGGCTCGTGTACCTTACGTCGTCGCACATTCAGTTGCTACTTCGCGCTGCAACTGAACGTGCGACGACTGAATTGTACAAGAATGCGATCAACTCCTGTACAAGCAACCCGTCGATGGTACCCACCGACGTACGTTTAGCATGGACGTGCAAAGGCTGCATGGCCAAGTGGCCGCGAGACGTCATAGCAGTTCCGTCAGGGGCTCGTTGCATGAGCTAAGTATGTAGCAGCGCATAAAAACCGCAACTGCCATGGGAGCAGTCATCGCAACGCCTGACTTAGTGCTGACGTGCCTTGGTTTCATGCTGGGCACACGCACTTCTCGAAACCCAACAGCATGTAGACGCAAACATTGAAGTAATCGGGTAGAACGTGTGTCGCATGTGCATTTTCAACGACAATTGGATTCTTTCGCCTTCGTCTATTGAGTGCACACGTCGACTCTGGTTGCCTGTGGGGCAATTTCGTGATCAACTTCCGCCCTGTTGTCCATGGAATGGTTGTTCCATGGTGAACAGATCCGTCGAACCCACAAACAATTGGTGGTCGCATGCTCTTCCTCTCTTCGACGGAAAAGATGGTCAACATTGGGCTCACGTTCGGAGCGATCGTGAATGCGACGGCAATGCTCGACACGTACGGGGCGGGCGTCGAGTCCGTCATGTCCCTTGCCGCCTACGCCAGGCGTGTCATCGAGCTGCACCCTAAGGTTGAGGGAACACATGGAGCGTGGCCACCAAGGAACAGTGTTTGCGCCAGTGCAGCATCTGGAGGCATGCTGCTAACGTGAGGAAATGTCTTGACATGAAGTTTAGCAGAGGTGGGCAAGGGGACGACTCTGGATGATGAGTTTGACGACTCTGGATGATGAGTTTGACGCGCTGGCACCACAACAATGCCGTCCCCATAACAGACAACCCCTTTGCCAGCGGCCACCATCGACCCACAGCTACACGACACTCAAACTGACCCCGAAGCCCACAACTATTGCCCAATTTCCACTATTGTAGCCAACTGCGAGTACTCCCAAGATCACCCCCTCTTCCATCCCTGTGCCAACCACCGTTGCCCTCAAACCTTCCCCAACGTTTGTACCGACTCCCTTTCTTCTCTTGCGCCAATAATCACTGGTTCCGTGGAACCAAGCCCCGGCTGTGTCTACGACGGTTCAACCATTGCCCAGTCCGACTCGCCAACCACAGTACCTCCCACTCAAACGCTTCAGCTTCGACCATTGCCCCAGCCACAACTCGCCCTGTGCGTCAGACAGTAATGTGCAAACATAGACATCCTTTCACTACCTCGAATACACACACCACGTAATATACACATCCACGGTTGGGATTTTGGAACAGACATGCCCTCCCACTGCTGGCCTATACCTACCGATGCAGCATTTCGTAGACCCAACGAAACCAGGGAGAACGCACTGCGTTCGATACGTAGTTACTGCCGACTTCATCTCACCAACAAACCCCCCTCCGAGTGCGCCGGGACTGTCCCCTCGCTTCGGCAACAACTTGCGCTGTGTGGAGCACTACATTCGTGCGACTCAACCTGTCCTTGTACTAATCCCTTGTACATGTGATGTTAGTACAAATGGACTGTTAGTACACATACCAACACTAATTTCATGTCTGCATCAACACTAAATATCGTTTTCTTTTTCGATTTCGTATTTCATACAAAAACGCAGGGTTTCGTTTGTACCAAGATCGCAAGTGCAATGTGGTTGGCATGGCGGTGCATTGCGTGGGGGGGGCTCGTGTGCATCGTGGCCACCACCGCGCAAGCTGCGCGAGGATGTGCCATGACGCAAGACTGTCTCAACCCCGACAACACGCCAGACTTTAACGAGTGCATCCCCAAAGCTCTAGAGAAGGTAGTCTCGCCACAGCCGGTACACGTCCGCCAACTTCTCGTGATGTGGCAGGTATACTCATAATATGCGTAGATGTCAGGCAAAGGATGGGCCAACGGTATGCAGAGTCATGATCTCGCCGCTCAAGTGTTCAAGCGTTGTCTGCGATTCCTGTAGTGACTGGTGGTGGGGCATGTAGCACGGATGCCGATTGCCACAAAGGCACATGTGTCGACAGCATCTGTCGTTGCAAGGAACGCCATTCATTTGACTCTTTTATTCTCTCTTACCGATTTCATCATGATCTAGGTGGACGGAGTTACGGCCGGCGCGCACTGCGACGACTTTGCGATTCAATGTCCAGAGTACAAGGACGATGCGTGCTGTTCGTGGCAGCAGAACCGAGCCCTGGCTGCAAATTTCAAGCTGATTTCGAGTTTCTTCGGCTCGGATGGTGGCGGTTGCGATGCTTGGTACACAACTTTAACCATGCATTCGTCGTCTTGATTGTTGCATTATCTCTAGCGCTGTCAACATCATGCAGCTCTGGTGCGGCTTGGTGTGCTCGCCTTTCCAAGCCGACTTTATGCAGATGCATATGCCGTACCCAAGCAACTCGTTTCGTTTGGACCCCATGACTGGCGTTGACCACGTCAAAGTGCTCGAGGTTCGTACGGCCACATTGCCCCACAGTGCAAAATGCCCTTCTCATCCCCGATTATCTCGCCAGATGAATGTGAGTTTGTCCACGCCTTTTACTTGTGGACTCTTCGACTCATGCAAGAACACGCCGCTCGTGTCCGTGACTGATGCGCTCAAGTCGTCCGTTGGATTTCTCAACTACCAAGCGCAGACGGGAAGCATCGGTCACGGCCAGTTTATGTATTTGCAATTTGGTACGTCTGCTGGCGTATTTCACTTGAATGAGGGAACATGGCGCGGTGGACGGGCGATTCAACTTGCAAACTTAGGCCGCAATGCATCATACTTCAACCATTCGAACCTCAAATGCGACAATTACTCGCAAGTACGGCACCCAACTGCGTTGGCATCCCTGCCCCTGCAAGCGCAGCTTTTGTCTTCGATTGCAAACCCAGCAGCGCCAGCGCAATGTCCATGCTCGTCGTGCAGACTGACGTGCAATGCCCCGTCCAACTCGTCAACGCACATTACATTGGTGCCTAACCCGATATCGATCTGGGACGGGTTCGATGCCACCCTCGTGGCCGGGGTCTACTCTGGGATTGCAGTCTTTGCCGCCGTTCTCTACTTGACCCATCGAACTCGCTAGACATTATCAATTACCACGACACTGTTCGCTGCACAGAGTTGAGTTTGGAATCTACGACCACCAGCATGCCTCTGTGGACTCCCCCACGCTGCACTGACGAGAATAAATCGCTGTGTCGTGCCACCGACAGGTCCATCAGTCCACCCTTGCCCACCTGCGATGCATGTATTACGGCAGCAAAAGTTACCTTTTTACGGTGGCATTCAAATCGCTCAACAAGATGCTGCCTTGTCGGGATGTACAGTCCGGGGCGAGGCGGTCGAGAACCGCGGTAGGCACGCCCTGAAGGACCACCCATGTTGGCAATCGACAGCGCTTTGGTGTCAACGACGTGAACTTCATATCTTGCGTGGCCTGGGCAACGATGCTCAAAGCGCCGGCGTCCTTGCGGCTCGCGTTGTCGTCCAAGGTTCTTAAGGTGGACTCAGGCATGGCGCTATGGGTCGAAATGTAGCAGTCGGTGATGTCGAACGCGACAATGCCAAATCAACACCACCTGTCGCTTCGACCTCGTACATCAACTTCGGGGATAATTTGGCCGATGCATGGCTTAGCGTGCCAACGGCAGCGCCAGAATACAGGGTTGCAAGTTGGGGCAAGTTCAAGACGGGTGGCATCAAGCGTTAGTGCATGGAGGAGTGCTGGGTTTCATGAACCCCCGGCAAAGGTCGACTAGGCCATATCCACTGCGTTCCGAGGCTGGTCGAGGCTGAGTAATACGGGGACATGTGGACGTGGTCGGCCGAGTGCTGCTCGACCTCGGGGCGGCCATGTTACCTGATTTGAAGGGGCAGTTCAGTAGCACTTGTCCAAGCGCGCAGGAAGGAGGAGAACGAAGGAGCTTTTGCTCTCTCCCTTTGGCCCCTAAGTTCCCCTGGGAAGGGTCATGGGTTGGGGTGATTGTCGCCGAATCTGTTAACCAAGGGTGTTTGCGTTGATTGACAGTGAGTTTGACAGGAGACTGCCTGGCGGTCGAGCAACACAACTACACCACACGACCGCAACAAATTCATGGCGCTATCGATGGATACGAGCACTTTCACGTTGCATGCGATCGATGACGGATGACACTGTTCGATATGTAGTCGCATGCATTTAGTAACGTTTGCGTCGTCAGTCGGCAGGGAAACTGACGACGGTGTGCTGGCCGTCTGCCTCGCGGCATTGAGTAAGGTTACCGTAACATATAGCCATTGAGCTCATCGAAGAGGACAAACGGGGACTGTGTAGTCCGACAATGCAAATTGGCGCGCCACTTTCCGCGACTCGTTACCGACCCTGCTAAGTCAAATCCACCTCAAGCAGCAACGGCAATTCAAAGTTATGCCCGCCTGGGCACGTCCGAATAGTTGGGCGTGTCAAGGGGCTACTCGACAGTCTCTGTGCATGGTCGGTCAGCGGCCTCAATTTGATTCATCGTGAAACATATATTCCACGTCGACTTTGACACGATGCTTCACACCCTATCTGTTGAGTTCGACACTCCTCCTTTGAGAGTCGCGGTGGGGATCTCCCTTGGCGATTTCTGCATCCCCAATTCTCGACTTTACCGAGACACGTCGTTGAGCCAGCTAAACCGTCACCCTTGTCATCGGAATGGGACAAGGAACACAAGCGCCAAGCGGCGGCAAGTAGCGATTGCAATCGTCACGTGAGCAATTTTAACCAATCAAAAGTAGTTTGATGGAGCTAATTTTGAATTGACCAATCATGTTTATTGAAATTTGAAACTGGCATTTCGATTGGTCAATGACTTGACATTGCGGAGTATGCCACAGTTTGATCGAGATGAGCGGCGCGAACAATGCATCGTCGGCTGACCTGCAAGGTGTGAAGGTATACGTGAGAGTCCGCCCCATGAGCACAGCTGAAGTTGAACAAGGATGCGACAGCGCCTTCGCAGCGGAGTCTACATCGATCACTCTAGGGCCGAAAACGTACACGTTCGACAAAGTGTTCGACGCAACCCAGTCCCAGGACCATGTCTTCTCAAACAGCGCTGCGGCATTGCTGGATGGGTTCTTTCAAGGGTACAACGCAACAGTATTTGCGTACGGTCAAACAGGGTCGGGGAAAACGTACACCATGGGAGTGGAACATGGCGGTGTTATTCCACATGTCGTCGACGAAGTCTTTTCCCGTAGCAAGAAACTCGACACGGACAAGATGACGACAGTCGTCCTCAAGATGTCGTACTTGGAAATCTTTAACGAGGAAGTTTTCGACCTGCTGGCACCCACGGCCTCGACAAGTCTGAATGTTCGCGACGACATCAAGCGCGGCATCGTCGTTTGCGGCTTGTCTGAACACATTGTCAGCTCGACGGAAGAAGTAAATCAGCTCCTACTCCAAGGTGCCAGCAAACGAGCCACCGCGTCCACGGGCATGAATGACACGAGCAGTCGATCCCACGCGATCTGCACCCTGTCGATGCATCAGCAACCCGCAGAAGACAGCGCCAAGTTTTCCAAATTCCACCTCGTCGATTTGGCTGGGTCTGAACGGGCCAAGCGAACGCTTGCCACCGGCGACAGGTTCAAAGAAGGTATGACGACATTGCATCTTCGGTCTTCCCTCTCATGATGATGCACGTGCTCTAGGTGTCCACATCAACCAAGCATTGCTCACCCTTGGCAAGGTCATCACGGCCCTCAGCGACAAGAAGGCATTCGTTCCATACCGCGAGTCCAAACTCACGCGACTCCTTCAAGACAGTTTAGGTGGCAACAGCAAAACAGTCATGATTGCGTGTGTGAGTCCTGCCGACTCGAACTATGAGGAAACGACGAGCACGTTGCGGTACCATAAATTCACATGCTCAACTTAACACAATGCACAAAACTCGTCAGGTACGCCGAGCGAACGCGATGCATTCAGAACAAGGCTGTGATAAACAAAGACCCGGGAGCTTGCGAGATCAAATACCTTCGACAACAAGTCGAACTGCTGCAGTTGCAGTTGTTGCAGGCCAAGTCGACGTTGCATGCGCCGACACATGACGGTCTTTCGTTGAGTCTGTCGTCGTCGCCTGTGTCCCCGTCGTCCGCTGTCGAACTGACACGGATGAAGAAAGAAATAGCGCTATTACGCCAAGCCAAGGAACAATGGAAAAGTATTGCGCAGCATCAACATGGCGACGAAAGAGCACTCACCCAGGCTGTTGAAATGGAGATGGAGGCAGATGGTGTGCTCAACACGTCAGCCGACTTGGAAGTACGCAGGACCCGCTGAAATTGGTCAAGGAATGACGGTGCCATGTAATAGAACATGGAGCGTGTGATTGAAGAGAAGGAAGCGATGATGGCGCTGTTGAACTCTGTCGACGAACACCACATTGGGGCAGAATTAGAGGCTCTCGGCAAAAAGTACGAAGAGAAAATCCAGACGCTGCAAACGCCGACGAAAAAGTCACAACTGGCGGTCGTCATGGCCGCACAGACCGAAGTCCGACGGCTACAACGGCTGCACCAGCAAGGCCAGCTGAAGATTTCGTCGCTTCAAATCGAGCTAACAAGCATGAAGCAGCTCAAGGCGTCCCTTCAACGGAAGCTCAAAACGGAAGTGGTCAACGCGCAAAAAGAGCAGCGAAAGCAATCGTTAACGATCATGCAGCTGCAACGCAAGGACGCGAAGAAGCAAGTGGAGATCCAAAAACTCAGCCAACTTCACGCTCACCAAAACACCCTTCTCAAACGCAAGAACGACGAGTTGGTGAAATTGCAATCTTCTAAGCGATTCAAACCCAGTACGCTGTCGTCACTAACCATGTGGCAGAATTCAGGTCCTTCGTTTTAGGTGAGCCTGCTGTGTTGTCGACCGATGCGGCCACGCAACTTGTCGACGAGGTGTTGGACGTGGAGATGACAATAGTTGGAGCTAAAGCTGCTATCAAGGTTGAGATCGAGGAACGCATCGAAATTGGTATGACCATGCGAACAACCTGGTCCACGTTTTAAGCTTGTTTCATCGATGATTGTAGCCAAGACCCTCCGGCGAACACCACCGGGACCAGAAAAGCAAAAAATCGACTTGCAGCTTGCTGACAAGAACGCAGTCATTCGAAAACTCCAGCAAAAGTTAGACTTGGTCGAGAAACATCACCGACACTCAGGCGGGACTGCCTCCCAACTGTGCCCCTCGTCAGTGCAGTCTTGCCACAAAGTGATTCAGGTGCGAAAACTTCCTTGCCTGGAAATGTGATTGTTTGACGCCATGCAAATCCAGGCCTTGCTGACTACTACGGTGTCGGCGAAAAAACGTTGCTTGGAGCTGGCGGATGTTGACAAGCAACTTGCTCAAACGGAAGAGCAACTAGTCGAGCAACGAGCGACTGCTGACTCGCTGGCTGCTGAAGTCAAACGGCTGGAAGTAGAGCTGGAGAGTCGACCTCCCAAGAAAGAGCGACCGAAACCAAAGGTCACCACTGACGTTGAAGAAGACGAGATGCCGAGTGAGAGTGAAGACGACGGTGGCGAGTATGATGACGACTCGGATTACACAGAAGACCGCAACTCCAGAGGACGAACAAGCAGTGGGCGCAAAGACAAAATCAAAGTCACTGCCGCGACTGTCACCCCCGGCGATGCTGTGGCGGTGGATTGTTGCCAATGCAACGGTAAATGTGCCACCAAAGCATGTGCATGTCGTGCGCGATCAGGACGATGTGGTGACAAGTGCACATGCAAACCGCACAAATGCGTCAATCGTGGGAGTATCGTTGCTGGTGACGTCGACAGCAATAGCATCCTTCAGGAACTGTGCGGGCCGAATCACGAGCTTTCGCTTCGGGGTACGACAATGTATTCTCGTCATCGCATTCTCATCTGGCGTTGAGTCTAGGTATTGCGTCGCCAGCACCGCTGAAAACACCAATTTTGTCCCCATTCGGGTCGAAACGAGACAAAGAGAACTCTGGTGTGCACGTCTTGGTGACCCCGCCCCCGCCCATGGTACAATCCTGCAAACCCAAGGTTTCGAAGAAAGGACTAACGAGGGGCTTACAAGCATCATCATCATCGGCGACTGACTGCGGACTCCCCCATGTGAAGAAGCTGTTCGACCCAAACCAGTCCTTCTCCGTGAACCCTTCCTCGTCCATGTCGCTGGCCTCGCAACTCCAAATGCTGTAACATATCCCAACGAACAATCTCTTTCCCGCATCTCTCCATCTCCATCTCTCTCCACCCATTCCCATCGTCGTCCTGGTGCCGCCGGGTCGCGGTGGAAGGGCAGCTGCAATTTATTCATGTTGCGAAGGATTTTATAAAATTCTTTGATTTTGGCATATATTTCGGGAAGGGTTGGGGGTCGAAAGATTATGGTATTATTCACATCACTTGCAGAACCAGCGATCGTGCTTGATCTCCACGCGGCAACGGCGGCATGAGCAATGACATCAGTCTTATCAACGGCGGCTACGGGCCTGTCCGTGGGGGTGGCCTTGTGGAAACGGTAGACGATGACTTTGACGGATACGACGACGATGACACGGTGAACACGTCCGCGATTATCTTACATCCGACGCAAGGTGCGACGACGTCGACGGTCGCGACATCCACTCATTCGTCGTGGAATTATACCATCGAGCCGCAACTGTTCCGCGGACTAAGCAACCAAGGGGCGACGTGCTACATGAATTCCCTTCTTCAATCGTTGTACATGACACCTGAATTTCGCCACCAATTGTACCAGTCCGTGACAACGCGGGACCATGACGACGCGACGGACCTCGAGACGAACATCCCATTCCAACTGCAAAAGCTGTTTGCCCACCTCCAACTCAACAAGGAACGGAAAGCAATCGACACGAAGGCGTTGACGAAGAGCTTTGGGTGGAATTCGTCGGACGTATTCCAACAACACGACGTCCAAGAGCTGTGTCGTGTGCTGTTCGACGCGCTGGAAGAATCGCTCAAGGGCACCCCGACCGAACATTTGGTCAACGACTTGTACCAAGGTAGATGATCTCGATGATGCCACGTCATTGACTGCCATCCCTCCTCTGCGTCTGTAGGCCAATTGAAAGACTATGTGCAATGCGCGAGCTGCGGCAACGAGAGCAGTCGCCTCGACAACTTTCTCGACCTGAGTTTGGTCATCCGGCCGTTCGGGTCGACGCAGATGATGCAAAGTGTCGAGGAAGCGATCGAATACTTTTTGAAGCCCGAGGTGCTGTCGGGCGAAAACCAGTGGGACTGCTCCAAGTGCGCCAAGAAGCAGGACGCGATCAAGGGGCTCAAGTTCTCCAAGCTCCCGTACTTGCTAGCGCTGCAGCTCAAGCGTTTTGACTTTGACTACACAACGTTCAACCGCATCAAACTGAACAACGAAGTGCGCTTCCCCAAGTACCTGAACATGAACACGTATGTCCACGACACGAAGGGCGGCGTGATCGCGCGCAAGATGTCCCTCGAGCGACAGGAACTCAATGACAGGCGTGAAGACGACAGCGGAAGCGACCGCCTCACCGCCGACGCGACGTCCCCCACGTCCGTCGGTGGCTCGCTGCCTTCGTCCCCTACGAATGCGCCGTTCGACGAGAACGACGACGACGAACCTCTTCAAGACACGTGGAACCCCGATTACGACGTCGATGCAGTCATCCAATCGACGGGGCCGTTTGTGTACGAGCTCTTTTCGGTCCTGATCCACTCGGGCAGCGCCATGGGGGGCCACTACTACGCGTACATCAAGTCGTTTGAGGATGGCAACTGGTTCAACTTTAACGATTCCACCGTGAGCAGAATCACGGAAGCCGAGGTCCGGACGGCGTGGGGGCCCAAGGCCCAGCCAGCAGGCACCATGTCGTATGGAGGCTACCGCTTGTCTGGCAGCACGTCTGCGTACATGTTGATGTATCGTTTGGTGGACCGCAGCCGCAATCGAGCAGGGATCGCGGACTCGCAAGTGCCATCGTTTCTGAAGGACTTGATCTTGGATGACGAAGCCAAGCGGGTCGAACGGGAGAAGGAGCGCGAAGAAAAGGCTCGGTTGATCATGCTCAAGGTGTTTTGCGACGACGCAACGTTCAAGACGATGCACATTTCGAAACTTACGCCGCTCCAAGAAGTGACAGAGAAAGCGTGCGTCTTGTTCGACCACATTACGTACCACCCCGACTTGGTTCGGCTGCGAAGCTACAGCGACTACACCAAGATGCCCCAGGACACGTACACGGGAAGGGAGCAGTGTAGCCTCATGCAACTACAACTGTACACGCACAGCTGCCTGTACCTGGAAGTGCGCCAGTCGGTGGACGAACCGTGGGTCGAATACGACGGAACAGCGTTGCAGCTTGTCGTCCGCAAGTACGAGCCGCACCCGACGCCCCACTTTTCAACCCCCCCTTACAACTTACAGATCTCGGACCGCGCGACCGTCAGCGATCTTGTTGACGTTCTCAGCACCAAGTACGGCCTGTCGCGGTCACAGTGCCGCGTGCTGCACATGAGCTCAAACGGGTACTGGAACATCCAAACGAGCATCTTGAACCCGGCCGACGAACCCATGTATATGCAGCGCACGCTGCAGCATGACATTCGATTGCGTCACGGCAGCGAGGTGTACGTGGAAGCATGCCCAAGCCTGGATACGTGGAGCGACGCCAAGGACCTATTTGAGACGAAGGCGCACGAAATAACTATCCAGGTCAAGTGCAAGGAAAAGGCGATATCGAGTCGCGTCAAACGTGCCTCGGTCGACGGCGGCCAGCCGGCAGTGCCGATCGCCGACACCGTGACATGGCCATTCGTGGTGGATCGCCGAGACAATCTCCGCGTCCTCAAGGATAGACTAGCACTGTTCCTCGACATGCCGATCGACACGTTCAAGCTGTTTCGCGGATCGGAGCAAGCGCAGGAGCTCAAGGACCTTGACACGTCGTTCAAAAACTTGACGTTGATGGACAACTCGACGTTGTTGGTCGCAGGTGGCCGGCCGCTAAAAGCGAACGAGTTTCATGTCCAGATCAAGTGGTACCAGCCGAAGCAAACCCCGACGACGACAGAAAGCGCACCGGCGTCGCCGACATCAGCCGACCAAACGCCGTCGCCGCGACTTTTTCTCGATGGGGGGACGACTGCAGGGGAACTAACGTGGCTGACGACGCTGATTGTGTCGATGGACACCGCCGTCGACGACCTCCGTGCGTCCGTCCGCGCCGCGTTTGATGGAAAGGGCATTGCCGCCCCATACATTCGCCTCCGCGACTTCGCCAACAATCGCATGAGCATGGTGCTCGCCGACGGCTTCCCACTCAAGAATGCGTCCAACCTGACGCTGTACGAGAACCGCCAGTTTGTCGTAGAGATCTTGCCCGCCCCCGAGCACCTCCCCCGCCATCACATGTTGTACTATGTGACCGTGTTCGACCGCGCGACTTTCACATTTGGATCACGCCACGAAGTCGTGTTTGCCACCCGCCATGACACCGAGCACTGGATGGACGTCCTTGTGGCGAAGGTCGCACAAGTCACGGGACTCCCGGAAGCCACGATGCAGTTTGCCAAACCGTTCCAATTCCAGGAAGTGAGTGTGATGGACGTCGAGGAGTTCACGTGGTCCGATCGAGACAGCGGACGCCGGTACACCAACCTGCATGCGCTTGGCACCTACGGCGACCGCCTCCTCGTGTCGGACAGCGCGGTGCCGCTCAAGGAACTGTCCACTGAAGAACGCGCGGCCCTCTTGGCCCAAGTCGACAAGTCAAGCGGCATCGACACACTGTACCACAACTCGTCGACTGTATATGGCCCCGTCGCGCCAAGCGGGCAGTATGGAACATCGACTTACCGGTATGCCAAGCCAAAGGAAGCGGCGCTTGTAATCCGGACCAAGTCGACCAAATCGTCGAGCACCGCCGCCAGCGGCAGCGACAGTGTCCCGGTATCGCCGGGGGTGTCCACCGACGACGATGCGGACTCGAAGGAGTATGAAAGGGCAGGAGGCGTGGCGCTGTTTGACGACCTGCATTAAGACAAACGTAATAATTGTTGTCCTGCTCATCTCGTTTGAGTGAACGCGTCATGACGGGCGAAAATCCATTAGCAGGGTTGAATGACGACTCGTTTGCTCCTGGGAAGGATCCAAATTTCTAATGGGCGAGGCCCTTTTCAGCGGCGGCGGCAACTTCCTTGCAGTGGTAGTCAAAGATGTTGCAGTCCGAGTACTTCCAAGGGTAAGGCTTGTTGCGGATCTTGTTGTGGGAGTACACAGGGGCGTCGTGGTGGTCAGCATGTTCATGGTTGAAGTGGGCCGCAAAGCTGATGACGGTAAACACACCCGTGAACGCAATCGCGCCTTGCGAGATGCGAGTCCACAATTGCATTTGCTGGAGAGCTTCAGCATCCGAGCCGTGCGCGGACATGTGGCGCACTTGGGAGGCGCGGGACACAGCGCGGGACAAGGACTTGGTCAAGATCGCAGACTACTCACACATACACCACATGAGGTTTATTCTCCTAGCGTTATGGAGCCAAGCGACTGCGTCCACCCCATGCTGCATGCATATTCACCCACCATTATAGCTTTTCTGAACTGACTGGTCCCGCAATGGGGAGAAACAGTTCTATGTTTCAAACAACAGTGATATGCAAACCTCAAGTATAAAGTTTAAAACACTCATTCAGCACAAAGACATGCTCGCTAAGGAATCCGGATAAATCTGTTCGGATACGATCCCAAACCCAAGCTCCGCACTAGTACAACAATGCGGCCCTTAACACGAAGCAATTCAGAATCAACGCATCGGAGGCATGCCCAGAGCAGCTAAAGCCATCCCTACGTGTCGATTTTAGGCTAGGTCGTACACACGAAGGCAGAGAGCGCTGCAATGTTTCGAATGTGGGGATGCGAATTTTGCACTAGAACTCATTATGATTGGTAGAAATTCCGAATGTGTTGCAACAAATCAACTTGAAAAGCGCATGACTTCTCGGATGTCCTGCAGAACATCACGTGAATCAAAGTCGGCATCAGCCTGCGACACGCAGTAGCACCGTAGTGGTGACAAGAGAGAGCACGATATCATACTCAACGTGAAGGCACAACGGTTTGTTTCGTTGTTTAATGGCCTTGCTGGTATCCGGAAATATTCGGATATCTGGATCCGTGCCTTTTCGCATGCAATGACACAAATTTGGCGCAAATCGAGGAATTTTTACACGATTAGTCAGTATTAGTAGAAAATTTCACGCATTCAATTGCAAAAACGCGAAATGTATGCAATTTGAAAGGTGTTCTCGATAAAGTTTCCAAAAAAAGTTTTTTTCAGTCTGGACCATATTGACCAAAACCATAGAATACTTGACAAAGCGTTCGGGGTATCTGAGGGGACCAAAGGACCCTTCCGCCATCTACCTCCCACAAGCACGCCGCCTCCCTGCGTCATCGAGGCTGACCCCGAGAGTTCCACTCGCGGGTTGGAGTGTCCATCGTTGTCCACGCATGAACGATCGATCCGACATTGACATGGACGTTCGAGCTGAACAAAACGCGAACCAGAGACAATCGTCCCTTCCTAGTAGCTACGCGAGTTCTGTCGGCCAAGTCAACGCCACCTTTCATGTGCGAGGAGGCCACGCAGGAAGCGGGCACACTGCATTGCCACAAGTACACACGGATCACGACCGACTGGCTGTACGAGGACTTGGTTCGGGTTCGATTGCATCTCCTGCGACCGCTGCTCCTCGATCGTTATCATGTACTTCGTCGTCCGGTAGTACCAACGTGTTGCTTGAAGTATTGGGCGGCACTCCCCGCGGCAGCAGTGACGTCTCGCAGCAACAACGATATTCCAACCAAAAGAACTCCCAAACGTTCTTCCCGTCGACGGAAGGCAACGTCAATGAAGATGAATCCAAGCCACGACACCCCACATCAAGCCACCTTGCTGTCGACAACCATGGCCACGGTAGCAGCGCCGCCATGATGATGGTGTCTACATCCACAAACCGCCGGAAGCGCGAACGAGACGTTTCCATGCACTCCACGGATAGCTACCTCTCCCACAACATGTACGACACGGACGAAGAAAAAGTGCCCGTGATTGACCCGTCCGAACGCGTGGAGCATCGCAGTACGAAGATCGTCCGCCGAGAAATCGTCATCGCCTCGCCTTCAGGCATGGACGATGACAACGACTGCTCAGCTGGTGGAGACGACCCCCGAACGAACAAGCTGGTGCTGCCGGAAACGCGACCACACCACCTCGGCTTTGATGTGCAGCCCGTGGACATCATCTTGCACGTGTTTTCGTTCCTGGTCTACTCGGATGACGTGTACCAGATGCAGCTCGTGTCGAAGCGGTGGCGGGAGCTCACAAGCACGCCAAGTCTGTGGCGCATGCTTCCAGACGTGACGGCCGACGGGAGCATCAACTGGCTTAACTTCCGCAACCTCGGTATCAAGAACAAAGGCACGGAAGGCACGTGTTATCGGTGCTTTCAACGGAGCACGGGGCGGATGCTCGCGATGAAGCGAGCACGGGTCTTCCCCAAGGTACATTGCCTTGTTCATTCGCTCTGGGCATGACCTCGATGGTTGGGTTAGGGGGAAGGTGTGCCGTACTACATGTTGCGCGAACTTGCGGTGCTCCAGGGCATCAAACACCCAAACATTGCGTCGCTCGAGATGATCTCGCTCGCAAATGACGAACTCCACGTGTTCTTTCCGTTTGTGGACAAGACCTTACACGAAATTATCAACCCGACGAGCGATCCGAACGGCGGCCGCATCCTGCCAGAGCATCAAGTATAGTCAACGCCTCTGGTTTCAGCTCACGGCGCAGTGTAGGTGCGGCGCTTTTTGCATCAGCTGCTTGATGCGATTGCCCATTGCCATCGTCGAGGCGTGCTCCATCGAAATCTCAAGCCGAAACATCTCCTCATCGACACGGACTCGCCGGATGAATTAGGTACACTTGGCAACGTCGGTGCTGTGCATGTTGAACGTGCCTGGCAGTCTCCTTGCATTGTTTGGTTGAGCTGGCCTTCGTGGATTGGGTACGAGAGGCTGTTGGTTGCAACTCGCACGGTGCATTGAGAGTGGGGTTTTCGTGTGAAGATTTTGTTGAGGGGCTGTCGTCGATCCGTGGGATGAAGTCGCGAAGTGAAGTGTTGTGATGGTTCTCCTGTTGGTGTGTTCGAACTGAGTTTGTGTGCGATGGGCCCGGAGCTCAGCTTGAGGGAGGTGACTGACCGTT